TGAAAATATGGAAAATTATTCAATACAGGGTAAAAATAAACATGATTAAAATTAACAGCCTTGCTTTTAGACAAATAATAAAAATCAACTATTTTGCTGAAAGAAGCTAATCACATAAAATGTTTGAAAGAAACATAAGATTTACATGAAAACAGTGAAAAAGAGTCAAAGACTTTAATGCCAAATACATCAATATAGTTTACTACAAAGAATACCATTTCAAAATTAAAAAAAAAAAAGACTTTTAGGTATTTTACACAGGATAAAATCTATTTTGGTACACATTACTAAAAGGGGTTAAGAATATTAATATAAATAAGATGGGATGGGAAGGAAGCAAAATAAGCTGTATTCTTGAAAATATGTAAATCTAAATGTGATCAGAAATACACTCTTTAAAATAACTTATAAAGGTAAATCATCTTATTATACAAAAAATAACCTGGTCAATTTATCTTTTTCAAATATCTGTATTTTTATGTTTGTTTAAAGCTAAAACACCTATATTTGAATACACTTTGTCCATATCCTTGGACAATTCAGTCAATTATAATCAGGCTATTTCTAGCAGCAAATCATTCCTGCCTACAGAAACTGTGGTCATATGAGTATTTACCGTATACAAACTAACTATGTGTGCATTTCAAAAACAGGAGAAAAATAAATTATGCAGGCAATTCCTTTCATTATTTCACTCAATAAACAAATGACTTTGAGTAAATTTAGAGGTGATAACGCAATCAGCTGTTCTCTCATTCAGTGTCAGTTCTTGAGAGCTTCTCATACAGTAAGACCATTTGAAGATGTTGAGCATCATTCTCGAATGTAAACATACACATTTTCATGCACCATGGCAAGTCAACTTTTTAATAAGGTGCCAACTGAAGAAATAAGTGAAAATAGTGATACCGCACATTATTATTTTCCTATAGCTGACCTTATAAACCTAATCTCTAGGGTAAGATACAATTCCCCTTACTTACTAAAGCATGTTATCTGATCCCAGTAGTCAACACTTGTGACTATATGTGTTTGATAGTTAAAATTATGTTAAAACTGTCTAAAATACATCATTTAAATTCTGTCAACTATACTCCCAGACCAAATAGAACTCAATTATGGAGATATTAATCAGATCACAAAAATTTTTACAAGCTCTTCTTAGCTTAACTTTTAATATGCTACCATTGTACATAGTACATACTGCTTAACCCATCCTCTTTGAGGTAGTAAAGGTACACCTAGAGACCACTCTTATTTAAAATACTTTTGGGTCCGTGATCTCTTAGAAATATCTGATGAAAGCCAACAGGACCTCCTTACTGAAAAATGCACTGACTCACTCTAGAGCAACATTTTTCAAAGTGTGGGGCACTATCAGGATTGGATTAAAGCAAGCATTAAAAAAAACCCAGAAAATATCAGAATGTCACACACACAATAATGATAAATCCCTATTTTGTGAAACATTTGTTTCAGAGGCTTTGTCTTTAATGGAAGATTTAGTTGGTATCATATACACATATTAAAACCAAAACAAAATAAATGCATAAACCATAATAAAAATGAATAAATGTGATAAACAGATATAAAGAAGGCAAACTACATAAAACAGATTATTTTGGCTGGGCATGGTGGCTCATGCCTATAACCCCAGCACTTTGGGAAGCCAAGGCAGGAGGATCACTTTAGGCCAGGAATTCATGACCAGCTTGGTCAACATAGCAAGACCCCGTCTCTACAAAAAATACAAAATAAAAAAAAAATTAGCTGGATGGGATGGTATGTGCCTGTATTCCCAGCTACTTGGGAGGCTGAAGCAGGAGGATTGCTTGAGCCAGAAGTTCAAGGCTGCAGTGAGCTATGACTATGCCACTGCACTCCAGCCAGGGCAACAGAGCAAGATCTTGTCTCTAAAAAAACAGATTAGTTTTTGCTTTAGTCTCCACTAGGATTTTTGAGGCTATTTTTTTCAAATTTAACTGGCTATCACTTGACCAGAACATTAATTTGTAGCAGAGGGCACTAGGAATCTCTGGAGTTTGTGTATATGAAGCCCTACACTTTGGCCCATTGCTTTAAGTCAAGCACTTTAATTCATTTTTTATTATTTTATTTTTAATTTTATTTTTTTTAGAGGCAGGGTCTCCGTACATCACCCAGGCTGTTCTAACTGCTGGCCTCAAGTGATGCTCCTACCTTAAGCTCCGGAGTAGCTAGGATTACAAGCACAAGCTACTGTGCCTGGCTTCATTTTTTATTTGAATTCACATTAAAATACATAAGATTATTGATCAAAGGTAGACTTTGTTTTTTTAAAATAGCTCTACTGAAATTTAATTCTTATATCACATGATTCATCCATTTAAAGTATACAATCCACATTATTTCTTTTATGTCCTATACCAATTTTTTTCATCCAAAGAGAATGTATTGTATCTATTCACAGTTTGCAAGGCACACATTACAACATGTAGTGGAATTTTATGAAGTAGCCTATTTTACTAATGGGTTGAAGAGAAAAGTATACAGTTGACTTGATATTAAATTTAAAAATTTGAACAGAAACTTTACATTTCTTTAACAGGTGCTAGAAATATGGAATTGACTCAAGGAAAAAAACCAACTCATTAGAGCCAAAGGAAAATAAAAAAGCAGAGATTGAACCAGTGCCACTCGTCTCATTGAAAAAGGTGAAGGAAAGTGAGGAATGAGAGCAACCAAGCTTTAACTGGAATGTTAACAACTATTTTGGAGGAGAAAGCTGTAATTTCTGCCTTGGGTCACTTGATCTCGATTTAGCAATCTGTAAACTGAAAAGACTTCACTAATTTACCTTATAAATCTAAGACTGTGCAACTGTTTATGGTGAATAAATTTCCTATGAAATAAAAATAAATTTAAGTTTCTACAAATGGAAAATGTAAACCTGGGGGCACAAGGAGATTTTTTTGGAGTGATGAAAACGTTCTAAATTTTGGTTGTGGCAGTGATTACATGACTGTATACATTTATTAAAGCTCATTGAACTATACTCATAAAATGAGTGAATGTCATTTTAAGTAAATTATACCTCAAACACAATTTTTTTAAAAAAAACTTTAATTCTTTAAACAGGATTTTAATCCTGTTTATTAAAAAATTCAATTTATTCTGAATTCTTTCATTCTTTCAAAACATTTATGGGCTGGACATGGTGGCTCATGCCTGTAATCCTAGCATGCTGGGAAGCTGAGGTAGGAGGATCCCTTGAGGTCAGGAGTTCAAGTGCCTGTAGCTCCAGCTACTCATGAGGGTGAGGCAGGAGGATCGCTTGAGCCCAGAAATTTGAAGTTGCAGTGAGCTACAACATCGCCACTGCCACTGCACTCTAGCCAGGGCGACAGAACCAGACTGTCTCAAAACAAACAAACAACAAATTTAGATACATACCTGTATGGGGCGTAGAACTTAAACATTCATTCTGTAGGCCATTCTCACTTTTAGTCCTATCAGCAACTTTTGGGCATGCAGATTCTCCTTTATCTGATTCTTCATTTTCACTTGCAGTATGATTTATTTTTTTCACATTACACTTCACACTGCATATGTTTCTCCGATAACGAGAGTCACTTTCTTCCTGTCCAGCATTTGAATCAATTACAGCTATGCAATGCTTTTTGTTTAGCATCTTCTTCATTACAGGCTTGGCAGAAGAATTTTGTGAACAACTGTCCATTTCACTGGCTGAAGGAGAAGAAATACAACTGTCCTCTACAGTTGAACATTTTTGTATGACTGCATTTTCATGGTAATGAGGATTAGGTTCATACTTTGGTTTTTCCAAACCAGGGAAACAAACAACAGCCAAAAACCAGTGTGCACTGTAAAAAACAAATGAAACTACTAAATATATTATTAGAAAATTTATTATATTTGGTAATACATATCAATTGAGATAGTTTTTCTAAAATTTTTGATAACAAATTTATTAAGAATGCCCAGTTTTTCAATTCTCATAATAATCAAATTGTTTATATATAATTATTGATTCACTAATAAAATACAATGTCTATTCAAAAATAACATGATTTGTGTCAGAATTATGTAGCCTGCATTCACTTTTGCAAACAATCTTTTGAACCTTTTCTTGGTTTTGGAATGAAAAATTCATTGCTTTTTCTGGCAATTATGTCACTTTGCAATTCATTGTTCCCATTTGCCTTCCCTTTGCCATCTTTATGTAAAAGGATAGAAATCTATCTAGTCACAAGATTAAAATGTCTTCAGAAGTCTAATTAAACTGTATAATTTTCAACACTTTGTAAGTATTGTACATAGTTTTCTTTTACTGTATTTTGGTTATTATTAATAAGGTAGGAAGGGGCTTAATATTGAAAATATATATATAAGTAATCTTTTGTTTCATGCTATATTGAAATGTAAATACAATAAAAGGAAATAACATCTAATCTAGTCATTGTTACAAAAATTCAAGTATTAGTAAAGAGTTCCAGCTCTGATTCAAGTGGGTGCTCCTGATATAGCTGAATTTAGACATCTCAGTTCCCAACAGTGGATTATATGCCACCAATAAGAAGCTGTATAGTCTTGGCTAATATTTGTTAAACTAACGAATTTTTTTAAGGGCCAACTATTTGCTAGGCACAGTGCTATGTGCTGGAATACAATGAACAGGATATAGGTGTCAGACAGCTTATTAGTCAAGCACAATAATATCTGTCATATGGTAGGGTGTTCAATACTAATTTGCTGAATGAAAAAATAAGTATCTTGGCATGGATAAAAGTTATTCCACATTCTCATTTCTGCAAAATGTTAGAGTACCCCAAGGTAGTACTAAGAAACAGTACTACATATTACTTCATCAGACAGCATCTAGTAGAAAGGTCGTAAAGGCTGGCTTCATCCTTAGTAAAGTCCAGCTGGATGAATGCTTCTCTCTAGTTCCTGATTATTAATCCTCAGTATCCTATAGATTAGGTCAGGTTGGAATAAAAGAAAGAGCACGCCAACTTCCTCATTTCATCAATTCTAAGACACACCTGAATGTAAGTCACATCTCAATTTTAGAAATGTTAAGATGTGAAAAAATATGCTTTAAAAATTGATGAAATATGGTATAATATGGTGATTCTCAACCTACACCTGTAACCTACCACAGTTCTTAACATTTCGTAGCTATGCCAATATGGATAAACTACAAATTTTCTGTTGCCTCACCTAAAAACTATAAAAAATCCATTTTTTTTTTTTTTGGTCTGGTTGAATAGCAGTTACATAACTTTAAATCAGTGGAAAAGAGGCAAAAACAGGCAATTTCTCTTATCTTAAGATGGATTAGATACAAATATCAAATTTGTGCTCCTTGGCAATTACTGTGACTTTTTTTTTCCTTTAAGCTCTGTTGGACTTGATACTGTGACAATTTTTAAACAAATAGCTTAGAAACTTAAGTTTTAAAAAAATGAGCATCACCAGAAAAGTTAAAAACAGATGACAAACATATGGCAGCCTATCTAATATAATTAGTGTATATAAATATGTGTGGCTTTCACCTCTTCAAAACACAACAACAAAACACAACCAAGTCTTCTTGATTTGCAGGCTATTTTTTTCAACTACAAATGGTACAGCCCTCTTACACAATCTTTTACTGGCCCTACATTTTTGGTCATTCTCTACCCCTCACCAAGATGACTATAAGCACTGATAGTAACTTCCATCCACAGATGTAGTGACTAAGAGGGATGTACCTCTATCTCTAAATTATGTGTATCTCAAATATATTTCCATTTTAAACTTTTATAATTTATTTCCAACAAATGGCTTTCCTCTCTTTCACTCAGTAGGCAGCTCACATGTTACTTTATATGATAAATTCCTGTCAAGGAACCTTTTTGTAGGCCAGGCATGGTGGCTCACACCTGTAATCCTAGCACTTTGGGAGACTGAGGCAGGAGGACCACTTGAGGCCAGGAATTTGAGACCAGCCTGAGCAACATAGCAAGACCCTACCTCTACAAAAAGAGGAAAAATCAGCTGGGCATGGTGGCTGCCCAGTAGTCCTGTAGTCTCAGCTACTTGGGAGGCTGAGGCAGGAGGATTACTTAAGCCCAGAACTTTGAGGTTACAGTGAGCTATGACGATGCCACTGCACTCTAGCCTAGATAGCAGAGTGAGA